TGGCAATGCAGCACCCTGGTAAGACGGGGAGTAAGAGGCAGGAGGCTGAATTAATTAATAGTATTTGTATAAAGCTCTAAGATCCGCAGATGGCAGATGTTAAGTAACTTCATTACCCAGCACAGCTACAATTTCATTGTGCAATTTACAAGCCCAATGCCTGAATGCTCTGAAAGAACCAGCGACCTCCTGCTGCAACGAGATTACTTTCCAGACCCTGCAATCAGTCATTTGTCATTTTTTTCCAAAACTTTAATTGTCCAAAGAAATATGGTGGCTGTTGATGTAATATATACAGGGACTACTTCACTTACATTATAAAAACAGCCTGATTTCATAAGCAGGATGGAAGAAGCAGAAAGCGCAAGTGCAGTGGAAAGGAAGTTCTAAGGACAACAAGAAATTAATTTCAATTTAGCATAAGTCTGTGTTTGGCAACAGCCATAAATAAGGGGCAAGCAACTGATAAATGCAGAGGGACATTGTTACCACACAAAGAGTTCATAAGGGAAACAGGATTTTTAAAAAATCTCATACCTACCTTTACATAACAGTTGATAGCAATTAAAGTGAATAAGAATGCTCTGGTCATGGAACTGCAACAAAATCTGCAATTAGGAAACTACAGGGCCAGAGTCTTTGCTCAGGCCAAGCTGTGCTCAGTGTAGGACCAAGAGTGGGTATGCAGATAGAGGCAGCTTTAAACTGCCTTTATTCTTGCCTAGTCCTGCATCTGACCCCATCCCCGGCTTAATTTAGACCAACCTGCCCATCTGCCCATGGCTCCAAGGGACTCCTGGATCAGCCAATGGCCAGGCACAGAGGGTGACATAAGAACTGTCATAGTGGCTCATCACCAACAAAGGATCCCTCAACAAAGAATTCTCCTAGGGCAGTTAAAATGGGTTTATGGATGCTTTGAGCTCCCAGAACTGGAGAAAAGCAAGTCAGATTGCTCCCTTGATTCAGGCTCACTGTGTGCAAGAGGAACATCCTGTTGTGTTAAATAATCAATAGTCCCGAGTTTTAACATCTCCATCTTCTTAGGAAGGGCTTTAGACTGAACTATCATCCGTACACTTTAGCATCTTCTTAACTTGAAGTAGTGTACAGCAGTGGTTCTCAACCAGGGGTCCAGGCCTCCTGTGGGCCACAAGCAGGTTTCAGGGGGTCCGTCAAGCAGGACCAGTGTTAAAGTCACTGGGGCCTAGGGTAGACAGCCAAAGTCCCACTGCATGGGGCTGAAGCCTGGGGCCCTGAACAACTTAGCTTCATGGGGCACTGGGGCCATGGGCAATTGCTACCCCTTAATGCCATGCCTGGCTTTTATAGGCAGAAAACCAGTTACTGTGGCACAGGTGGGCCTTGAAGTTTTTATAGCATGTCTGGGGGGGACTGTGAAAGAAAAAGGGTGAGAACCCTGCTGTACAGTATCTGAGTGTATTGATGGTGGGAAAGAGGGAAACTGTATTATAAACTAGGAGACTGGCCAACGGCAAAGAAATTTCTTCATTATAGCACTTTATGCTTTTATTTCCTACGTTTGCCATCAGACTCCAAAAGGAAGTTTTATTCCCAGCTCTCTGTGGCTAGTGGGAAGGTCAGCTCTCAGCTGCAGGCCTGTCTCTGGGACAGAAATGCAAAAAGACCTCAGCTTACAAATACTTCTTCTTCCTCCATAGCCACACATCCCTGGAAGCTCCATTTCCACTCCTTATTTCGACCGAAGCTCCCACAATTCTTCTGGCTGAGATGAGGTGCCGTACATGGGTGTCTACCTGCTGAGAGGTGAGTTGGTGGTGCCATTTGGCAATAGTGTAATTGGGGGTCCTGTAGCTCTCTCCATCCAGAGCTTGTGGTTAGTGGGTAAAAGCTGCATATGCTTCCTGGGGAAAGCACCTGCAGGGGTAGACACACAAACATTCTTCTCCCTCAAAAGAAGGATAACCGACTATTTCTGTATATCAGCTGGGGGCTCAGGATAGACTCTTCCTGGCCTTGCATTCCTCTCCATTCTAATTGCTGAAACTACAAAAATACTGTAGCAAACACATACAAGAATTCTAAAAAACCGGCTCTTTTTGAAGATGAACATCTCCAGCAATAATGTCATCCACCTGAAGTGAAGGACAAACGGGCCTTGCCCTAGCTCTAGTCTAGGGACCAGGTGTTTTGACCTGCAGTTGAGGGGATCAGCAATCAGCAGCACCAGTGAGATCCCATGGGGAGTGGAGGGGGAGGAATACAGTGGGCCAGATTCTCAGCTGGTGTAAATTGGCATATATTCATTGACTTGAGTGGAGCAACAACAGTTTACACTAGCTGAGGATCTGGCCCAGTTACATAAACTAGAGAGCAAAACAGGTCACTCTAATGCTTATCTAAAGACCACAGTCTGAAATGTCAGATGATCCAGCAAAATGCTCTTCTGAGAGGGACAGACAGCCTAAAAAATGACTTGTCTTCCTCATGCACTGTGAATTGCTATGCAGACTCATGAGGAGATGCTGCCCACCTTGGGGTAGCCATTCCGTGACCTCATATGTGCGCTGTGCAGGAGTCGACACACGGACAGGACATTGCTTTGAGCTCAGCTTTCCAGGGCCCAGCATTTTTTACTTTCCTGAAATACAGCATTCTCCAGGTAACGGGTGACAAATCTCCAGATACAGCCAGGCTGGAAGGAAGATGAATGCTACTTAAATATCCTCAAATCTGAAAGTAACTCAGCCAGAAACTGCTACAAGTTAAAGCTGCTAAGTTATATTCAGCCTTTAAAAATAAGTTCAAATATTATGTAGGCCTGGCTTGACATAAGTAACTTGCTTCATTTCTTAGTGGGCATAATTGGGAAGATGAATGGAAGGTTCAGTTGTAAATAGGGGCTTGACAAACAGTATGCTGGAGTCCAGGATTTCTGTACTAGCTAGACAAGAAACAACAGCTTTATGCTAGGGACTATGGACAAGATAAACATGGAATATAAAGATCAGGTTCCACATGAACAGCATATTGACAGAGCACACTGTCTGGGATTGGTTCCTGCAAAGTAACTAAGCCAATCCAAAAATGTGTGGTGTAATGTACAGCAAATGCAATGTAACATATAAATGAACACAAAGGAAGAGGTTATCTGTGTAACTCTGGATGTGTGGAATGCCAGATACTCACCCCCTATGGTTGAGTCTGATCAACTCAGCGTAGCTTTGCTGTATGCCAAGTAAGGAACTTAAGTGACAAAATCCAGAGTCAAACTGAATGTTTTGGAATGACCTGACATGTTCTCCCAGCACTAGACAAGGTGTTGGGGATAAGCCAAATGGAAAAGGTCTCGGAGGGAATCCCAACATATTATATTTTAATTGAAATTATTCCTGAATAACCTTAACAACAATCTGACTCTCCAGACTTTTGTTTATTTCAGTTACTAACTATAACTTTCTTTTACAGCTGTAGTTTGAGAGGGGGAAAAACATTTTAATAAATTGTCAGTTTATCTTAAATGTATTCATCAGTCACTAACGTGAATGTGGTTGAATGCTATGTTATAATTAAGTAGTGACACAACAGTAAGTTCTGTGATTCTGTTCATAAGAAATAGAGAAATGTGAATGTTCAAAGTTCCATCTCCTTAGCTTTGCAACATACATTATTTTTGCCACCAAGAAGTATGCGAAGTACAGCAAGTCTTCTTCATAAGCAAACACAGCTATATCATTTGTGGTAAAATTGCTGAAACAGATTTTTTATTGTCATGGTCATTACCTGATAGCTAGCCTGTAACAAACTCCTTCATTGTCAAACATCATCTTGTTGAAGATTAACCTGGCTAAGATAAAAACTTAACTTTTTCATCAATAGAACTATGCAAATTCACACCTTGTTGGGTCATGAACTCATTGAAGATTAATTAGTTCATCACCAGACAGGGCCCAGTCCCACAAATGGTCAGAAACACACTGAAGTCCCTTGGATTTCTTGTGTTGATCACTAGTTTAGGCCCTCAATTTGTAAGAAAATCTATAACAGGCTTTTGTTTTTTATTTTGAACTTGTGTTCTTCAAAACTAGCTTATGAACTAATCAAAAGGAGAAAGTACAGGGGAAGTCAGGGGAAGTTACACGGGCATAAGTTTAAGTATTTGTTGCCCAAAAAAGACAAAGTGCCAATTCCAACACAATGTGTAATATAATGTAAATTAGGCCCTGATTTGCAGAACACTTGCACGTGTGCTTACCTTTACTTCCTTGATTTGATGGCTTTAAACATTCCCCTTCCCCCTCAGATTCCAAAATCAGAGGGGCCCAGATCCCCAAAGCTATTTAAGCCCCTACTTTCCACTGAAATACTTGTATGGGTCTGGACCTGGGTATCTAACTCTTAGGTGCTTTTGAAATTTCATCCCAGCTCTGCAGGCTCTGTCCCTATGGAACTAGACTCCTGCCTTGACTGGAAGAGCTCACAGAGCAGGGTGATGGCTGCCCTATCAGATCCCAGATAAAGAGATCATTAGAGCTGAATGCAATTTATTCCTTACAACTGTTTTCCCCCCATTTTAAAAACAGGCTTTTTCAAAACTCAAGACTTTTGCAAAGATTTTCTTTTCAGCAAAACTTGTGTGTTCCTTTGTCAAAACCAGAAATGCTGACATCTGTTTTTCCCCTTCTCCTTTTTCTGCCACTGAATGCACCAGAAGGTGTAGGGGTTTTTTAGTTTCACTTTTCCTTTTTTCCCCTTTGGCTACTTTGCAACTTTCCCAAAGCGGAGGGAATGGGAGAAGGTGAAGAGTGGTAAAAGGAGACAACTGGAGGAAATGACTCCTGGCCCCCTTTCATTGTACTGCCTCGCTCCCAAAAAGGGTGGGAGGGGAACGAACTGAAGTGGAAGCTGTGCTCCCCGCTACCGCGCACACGGGCGGGAAGGGCAGAGCCCAGGGCACTGGGTTAAATGCAGACGGGCAAGAGGGGTTGAGCCTGGGCACGGGGGTTAGTTGCGGGGAAGGGCTGAGCGCGTTGCCCGGCAGGGCGGAACCCAGGGGCGCTCGGTCCCCGGCAGCCCCGCGCTCTCCCCATGGAGGCCGTCCCACGCTCTGCGCCGGCCAGCAGAGGCGGCTCCGGCCGCCGGGCATGCGGGGCCTGGGGGGGAGGCGTCTGGCAGCCGCGGCCCCGGCCCTCTGCCGTCCGCTCCGGGCGGGGCCTGCCTCCCCTCCGCCTCCTGCCTCTGCGGGCGGCGCGCCGCGCTCCGCCGGCCCCCGCCATGGCCGACAGCCCGGGCCCCGCTGGCGGCGGGCGGCCGCGCTGCCCCCGGGCCGCCCCCGCGGTGGAGCCGGTTCTCTTTCTGGGCACCGTGGCGCTGGCCCTGCAGGCCCCGCTCTGCACCCAGTACCTGTGGGACCGGCTCGGGGCCGAGCTCGGCTACAACGGCTCCGCGGCCAGCGGCGCGCCCGGCTGCGGCAACGCGAGCGGCGCGGGGGACCCCCGGCAGCAGGTGGGCGAGGCGGCCGGGAGGCGGGCGGTGCTGGGCGCGGGCAGCCCGTCGGGGGGCGCGGGCAGCCCGTCGGGGGGCGCGGGCAGCCCGTCGGGGGGCGCGGGCAGCCCGTCGGGGGGCGCGGGCCCCTTGCGCTCCGACTGCTGTCGGTGGGTGGGTGCCCGAGAGCGGGCCCAGCCCTGGGACCCCAGAGGTGCTGGAACTAGGGGGGCTGGGGCTGCGGCCGCACCCCCGGGCTTGCCGTGGCCCCATTGTACACAGGGTTCAGGGGCTGCCCCACAACCCCTCTGTGCCCAGCCAGGCAGAGCTGGGAGGAAGCTGGGCCATATTTTCGCAGCTCCGGCACCTCGCTCAGACCCCGAGGTGATGGGCCGGGTACGTAGACCTTGAGGGACAGATATTGTGCCTTCCAGGGGCCTCACCTGCCTGTGTCTGTTCTCCTGTCTCAGGAAGTGGCGACCTTGGCCTCCCATTGGAACCTCTACATCAACCTGGCAGGCTTCTTTGTGGGTCTCTTCTCCGTGACTCTCTTTGGACCATGGAGTGACAGCGTGGGTCGGCGTCCCACACTCATCCTGCCTGCTGTGGGCATGGCCTTGCAGGCTGCCATCTATCTCCTTGTCATGTACTTGAGGCTGCCTGTTGGCTACTTCCTGCTTGGGCGCATTCTCTGTGGCCTTATGGGGGACTACAACCTGATCCTGGCCAGCTGCTTTGCCTACGTGGCGGACATCAGTGACCAGCGTTCCCGTACGTTCCGTGTAGCCATCCTGGAGGCGTGCCTTGGCATGGCAGGCATGTTGGCCAGCATCATTGGAGGGCAGTGGCGCAAAGCTCAGGGCTACATCAATCCTTTCTGGCTCGTGTTTGCTGTCAGTCTTGCCACTGCCCTCTATGCTGCTCTTTGTCTCCAGGAATCGGTGAAGGAGAGGAAACCAGCCAAGCTGTTCACCCTCAGTCACTACGTGTCTGTGTACAGGCTGTATGTAGCCCCAGGGTACCAGAGATCCAGGCAGAAGCTTGCTCTCTACTCTCTGACTTTCTTTCTCATTGTCACCATCCACTTTGGAGCCAGGGACATCTTTGTCCTATACGAACTCAGCTCCCCTCTCTGCTGGGGCTCTGATCTGATTGGCTATGGCTCAGCGGCTAGTTACCTGACTTACCTGAGCAGCCTGGCAGGGCTGCGGGCACTGCAGCTGTGCCTTGAAGACACCTGGGTAGCAGAGTTAGGATTGCTCTCCAACATCTCGGGCCTGGTTCTGATTTCACTTGCTTCCACGACACCACTGATGTTCACAGGTGATGCTGAATCCCTAAGTCCAGGTAGCACAGTGTCCTAGCTTAAAAATTGCCAGAGGAGTGAGGAGAGGATGGCATCCTCTTGGAAAGACAGAAAGGCAGAAGAGACGTCTCCAAAGTATCCATATACCAAAATTGCTGAGATCAGCAGCCTGTCACACCTTGTATTTACTGTCCCCACCGGGCGGTGGTGCTGCAGGTAGAGGGAATCGCTACAGACAGTTGTAGACTAACCAAAAGCCACACAAACAAGGTATCTTAAGCTACCCTCAAAGGGGCCCTAGAAGAAGGTGGGCTGCAGGGCGCGCATGGGCTAATGGCAGGAGGATGGCAGGCTCCTTGGCAGCTACAAGTGTTTTATTTGTGGGGTTGGTTTTGTTTTAAGCTAGCAATGTTATTCCACAGGTAAGGAAACCTCCTGGGTGTGTCTTATTTCTCACTCACAGGTTATGGAATCCTGTTTCTTTCAATGGCAGCCACTCCAGTGATCCGGGCAAAGCTGTCCAAACTAGTGGATGAGAAAGATCAGGGTAAGTGATCAACCCGTATAACCCACAGCAGGCTCCGAAACATCCAACCTAGTGATGTCCACGTGACACATTAAAAACCAAACAACCCAAGGAGTGTGCCTCAGCCTCTCCCGGCAGGAGGCACCAAAAGGACCAGGTCGGGTAAACTCCGCGCTCTTCTGATCCCTCGTCCCGCTGGCATATGCACACATCTCCAGGCCCTGCACAGGACAGTCATTGTGCAGCATTGTGAGCAGTTTTTCTAGGCAATACAGTGAACCTACTTGGGACTAGAATGTGCCGAGGAAGATCTAGTCAAAGAGAAAAGCAGCACGTTAAATCTTGGGGCTGGGTCACTTATGACCTCCCACTGGTCGCAAAACCTTTCACGGGAACTGGAGTTAGAACGGGTTGAAAAATAAACTCTGGAACCACTAATAACCCAGGGTATGGCTTTGGTCTGCGTGAGCTGGCAACATTTGGAAGAACTCGGCGCTAGTAAAGGATGTGACCACAGGACGTAGGGTTACCCTTCTCCATAACGCTGGGGAGACCTGGGCCTCTTTGCCTCCTGTACACGGACCTGGCTGGAAATGCCCCTGCAGAGTCAGGAGAGGGGAAGACGGGCTTAGTGCAGTGTAGCCCAGAAATGGCTTCCCAGTGATTAAATGAAAGCGCTGGTTCCTCCAACCGGCTAATGTGGGCCCCTCTTAGAGTGAAGCTAGTGTAAATTTGATTCCAAGGTTATAAAACTAAACCTGCAGATCTCTGCTGTGTTTAATATTTATTGGGTGATAAAATGTGCTTGGCACTTACGTTTAGCTAGTTTCTGCCTCGGGGGATTTACAGTCCGTCTGATGCAGTGTCCAGATTCAGCACTGTGGTGAGTGCAACTTATGGAGGGCAGTGGAGTTATCCTACTTACACTCGTGCTGAACTTGGCCCATCATACCTATCTCAGCTCCCAGCCCTTGGCACCTGCACTGCAAAGAAAAAGGGCCACCTTCTGATCTGAGTGGAAATATTTTAGTAAGGTCCAGATTGCCTTATTGAAATGTACCGAGATGGTCAGGGTGGCCAAAAGGGGAGCTTCATTGCTAAGCTCTGACGTTGGTGTCTTTCCAGGTGCTCTTTTTGCCTCTGTTGCCTGCGTGGAAGGTCTCTGCTCGCTTGTGGCCACAGGAGTGTTCAACTCTCTCTACCCTGCAAGCCTGCACTTCATGAAGGGATTCCCCTTTCTGTTTGGGGCAATAATTCTGCTTGTTCCAGCTGCTCTTGTTGGGTAACTAAGATTCTGGTCTTATAACTCGGTCTAAAAGCCTTTGTATGTGGCTCTGTAGTTGCTGGTGGGGTCTCTTGCAGGACACTGGCTTGTAATAGGCCTTTACAAGGCTTGTTCTAAATGCTGCTAATTGGAAGGAATTTGGTGCCACAGTAGGCCGATGTCCAAGTTTCTCAACTGGGGAAACCACTGCCCAAGTTCTCTCGTGGCTCACAAGTAAACTGATTTCAGTGGGGTTCTTCCTACTCACTATGTGTCCACATTGCAACATTTCCACACACACATCCCCTGCACTCCATGTGCGTGTGGATGGTGGGGGGCGGAAGCGGCTCAGAACTGAGTTACATTTCAAGAGCTGAATGTGTGGAGTGGAATTGCAGGGGGTATGCCAGGTCAGGATTGAGGCACATTGTCACAGTTATGTATGTAATGCTCATGCGTTGCCTGCCTGCACTGTGCTGGCACGAGCTACTAGCTGTCATTCCATTAAAACATGACAGTTTATTTTTCTTACTTTATATCTCCCTGAGCTTTGTGCTGTCCCAGAGCTCAGCACCAATCCACAGAAGGACTATGAGGAGAGGTGGAGAGCTCAGAGCCTGGGCAAAATATTGCTCTTTCACCGCTTCCTCCAGCAGCTGCTGTAGGGAAGAGCTTGAGTACACTCAACAGCTTGTCATCCTTCAGTTGCCCTGCTGGTTAAAGCAAGAGAAGCGAGGTTGCTTTTGACGTTGTCAGTGGTGGTGGCTCTGGCTGGGAGGCCGGGGTGGGGCTTATAGGAGAAGTGCAGTAATGCTGGACCTGTGGAGTTTTTCTCGCAGGGCCATTTCCTCTCTCTTCCCTTGAGATTTTAAAGCCCTGGCTTTGTGCAGGCAGAGTTCTGACACTGTCCTTTCTCTCTTAGGTGGATAGAAATCTCGGACACGACACCCGAATATGGTCACTTTACGGATGCTTCCTGATCCCTCACACAAGCCTAAGCACTGATTCACCAAAAGAAAATTATTTGTGTGGCTGAGCAAGCTGGTTGGAAAGCTGCTGCTTATTCTGCTGGGAAGATCTGACCAATGAGCGTACAAAATCTCTAAGGTTCTTGCTTATTTAAAGTTCCAAGTAGCTGGAAATCATGGCTTTAATCAGCCAGTAAAAACCTGATCCTGGCAGCAGGGTTAGCGCCTCATGGTCCTGCTGGCTCGGCCTGTCTGGGAAAACACAAGCAATTTTAAAAGTAAAGGAGTAGAAAGAGATGCTGCTGATGCCCATTTGCAGGTGACAGAGGAGTGAGAACTAATAGGCCAGGCTGGGTGGCCCATGGGGGAATGTGCTCTCCTGCTGAGGGGTTGGGGGCAACGCCAGGGCGCAAATTCCCCTCTGAACAGAGGGCACTCTACCCTGTTGAGTGGCCAATAAGCCATTAGTGTGGAAAAAGAAACTCATGACCAAACTCACCTCTCCCTCCCGGAAGAGATGGCACCTGAAGAGCAGAATGGAAGTAGAGGAAGCCCAGCACTGGCTGAATAGATTGTAGAGGGAGAGAGGCAGGCCCGGGCCCCCGTCTGCACCCAAACTGCTTGGGTTGTTTGGTTTTCAATGTGTCACGTGGACATCACTAGGTTGGACTTGTTCTGCACTTTACTGCTCAGGCCAGGCTCTTGTAGCAAGCTGAGAGTGAGAAATAAGTCTTCCTAGGAGTGCGTGTGAGCCTGGAGGGACATTCTCCCCTTCTGCCTGTTTAGCTGCAGAGCCCATTCATGGAAGAACTAATGGCAGTGCACACAAGTCCCATGGAGCTCGGCTGTTCTCAGCTGGCAGATGGGTGTTAGCATCAGCCGCAGTGCAGTGTGTGCCACAGAGGAGAAGCTGATGGGGGAAGTGCCAAGGCACGTTACACTGTGCCCTTCTCCTAGTGCCCTTCAGCCCAGGATTTCAAAGTTCTTTGCAAAGGTGGGCAGTGCAGGTTGGAAGCCTGAGGAAGATGGGTTAAAGCTAAACCTGTCCCCACATCCATAACTGTGGGCACCTAAATTCTATAACTGTGGATTAAGTGACTTCCTAAGGCCACAAAGTAAGCGAATGGCAGAGCCAGGATCAATCTCATCCTATCACTAAGCTGAGCTGGATGAGGGAGCAGGGCAGGGGGCTGTATTTGCAGGGGGGAGATCATACGTTCTGTGGGACGTAATCTGTCAGCAAGCGGACTGCTGCTTCGCTTCCCAGACAGTGGAAGGTGCCATTATGTTTTCACACTGTCACTTGCTCAGCTATCCCCTGCCGAGGTAGTAACACCTCTCACCAATCCACGGTGTGCAAAGCCTTCACAGCTATTCTTCTAACAGCTGTTAAACTTGTTTCCCCTTGAATATATGATCTGTACAAAAAGAAAAGGAGGACTTGTGGCACCTTAGAGACTAACCAATTTATTTGAGCATGAGCTTTCGTGAGCTACAGCTCACTTCATCGGATGCTCATGCTCAAATAAATTGGTTAGTCTCTAAGGTGCCACAAGTCCTCCTTTTCTTTTTGCGAATACAGACTAACACGGCTGTTACTCTGAAACCGGTGATGATCTGTACAGTAATTAAGTGGCACTGCTGATAACAAACCCCTTATGCAAGGTGCTGAGATAGTCCCTGTGCTGTTTTGTAATCGGATTCATGACAAGGACAAGATTGCTCATTCCCAGAATAGCAAGTCCCTGGTTCCTCTCATGGCCCATAAAGGCTGGCCTTGGCAGCAGAGCTGTTCTATAGAATCATAAAAATGGAAGGGACCTTGAGCGGTTGTCTTCTAGCTCGGCCCCCTCTGCTGAGGCAGGACCAAGTAAACCTTGACCATGCCTGATAGCTGTCTGTTTCTAAAAACTTCCACGGATGGGGATCCTACAGTGGTAACACATTCCAATACTTAAACTATCCTTACAGTTGGAAAGATTTTCCTAATATCTAACCTAAATCTCCCTTCCTGCGGATTAAGCTCATTACTTCTTGTCCTAACTTCGTGGACCCGGAGAACAACTGACCACCATCCTCTATCACAGCCCTTAACACATCCTCTTTATAACAGCCATCCTCTTTATAACAACCTTTAACACAGAAGACTGTCTTCTTTTCTCATTTTTTAAATGTTTCCTCATACGTCAGGTTTTCTAAACCTTTTATCATTTGTGGTGGTGTCCTGTGGACTCTCTCCAGTTTGTCCAGACTTCCTTCCCTGCTTATCTCTCTCCATTATTCTCCTGCTTTTCTCTCTCTGGGTTGAAGACTTTGGAGTAAAAAGCAGCAGCAAATAATCTGATGCCAGGTGGAGAATGAGCTTATCAAAGAGCCTGGAGCCATAAAGATTAGAGATAATCCCCTGAGACTTGCTAGCAGCAACTACATACTGGGTTAACCTTTTCCTGGGCACTGGAGTGATGCTCACAGCAGCTCTGATTCTGTTACTGCCTGTAAATATAATATGCAGCATTTGCCAAACCAGCACAAGCTCTTGTTTAGCCCCTGCTCAAGTGGGGAATGGGGCGAGATGGTACATGCAGTGGGAAGGTGTGTGAGGGGAGAACGGTTATCGGCTGCCTTAGGAGCCTGATCTGATCACAGTGGGCCCATTGTAAGAATGCTGAGCTATGTCAATACAAAGCTCAATGTGGGGGCTGCCTGGCCAACTCTGAGCTTCAGGCTAACACTGACTTTCCCTACAAACAGGGCATGCCAGGAGTTCAGGGTTGTGGATGAATTTGTATCTGAATTCCTCAGTGCAGCACCAGGCCACTAAATCCTAGCTGATCCCATTGGGCTGCAGGTCTGTTCTCCTGGCCAGTATCACCAGCTGGCAGTGTCTGTACAGTTCGATTTCATTGGTCCCACCATGCTGGCCTTGTGTGTCAGTCATCCACTGTGTATAAAGGAAGAATCCAATAGGATTTATGGAAGAATAACAGTGCTTTGCTTAAACAAGTTTTTCTAGGCTCTCCTCACAGATCCTCAAGCCTGGGGCCAATGCACGACCTACCATGGTGTGGCTATGAGCAGCAAGTATGGTTGTCCTTAGAATTCAATGAGCTCCATGCTCACATTAATCCCAAACCCTGCCCGGGACATCCAGGGCCTGGGTAAAATGGAGGCTGTTTCTATATTATATTATACAGGTTCTTGTATTGCCCTCAGCACCCCAGTACTTGAGCGCCTTCTACTCATGCATTAAGCAACATGGCTAGCAGTTGTCTCTCATCCTCTTTCCAGGAGAGAAGATGTGGGCAGTGGAATGTTTTGGTAGGTTCCCCCCTCGCTATGTCCATGCTGCTCTTTGTGTTTGAGAAGGCAGGTCAGAGCAGTGGCTCTGGTGCTGGGAGTGGGAGTTTGGGCTTAGCTCCCAGGGGAGTTTGTGCACAGTCTCAGACCAGCCCCCCAGCAAGCTCTGTCTCCCACACAGAACAGCTTTATCCTCATGGTAGGAAGTTTCACTGCCTGAGAGGTGGAGTTGTTGGCCATGGCCCTCACCCCATGCCTTAGACCTGTACAGGTCCTTGTCCTTGACTCTCTTGGCTATGGGAAACCAGTGTAAAGGGTGGAGGACAGGCCGCATGGGCTCACAGTAGCCTGTGGTGCTGAGGAGACGAACTGTAGCATCCTGTACGAGCTGGAGTTTCCTGCGGCCTGATGGTTTGTGCCTTCCCAAAGGACAAGTTTGTCTGGCCCTGATGAACAATAGTGTCCTCTTGCCCTAAAATCCATTCAGGTGCCTCTGGGTCAGTGCAGCATACAACAGGCTCTGCCCCTTCATTCACCACGCGAGGAGGAGACTCTCGGTATCAGATGGCCTGAGTCGGGCCTGCAGTTCTGCTGGGGTTGGAATCTTCAGACCAGTCCAAAGTGACATGAGCTGGGCTCATCCCTGCCCCCTAGGCCTGGGTGGCAGAGAAGGTGCAGGCTGGAGGGAGCAGAGCCTAGGCAAGCCATGTCCCTGTGCCTATGGCTGTCTCAGATCACATCAGCTGCAGATGCATTGCTGTGCCTCCCCGCCCGCTGCGGGCCCGTGGCGTCACGCGCTCAAACCCAATGCCTCTAATTGAAAGCAATTCATAATTCAGGAGCCCATCATCTCCACTCATGAATAATGAATACTTTGTAAATGTTCCTTCACTGCATCCCGTTTTCTTTGGACGCGTCTCGTGTGGCTGGAGCCTACCGGCTTGTGGGCAGAGGGGGCTCGGTGGATGTAATTGCTGGGACTAAGCAACCCGTTCAGCACTGGGGTGGGAGGCTCCAGCCCTTCTGGCTGCCTGCAGCTCCTGTACACACAGTGCTGTGCAGAGGCACCCGAGTGTTTACACTGCAGTGGGCCTGACGCTCCACACCGGCTTGAAACCTTGCGTTGCGCTCTGTGGGGGCTGCTGCAGTAGCTGCCCTGTGAATGGAAGCAGGACAGAACAGGCAGGAGAGCTGCAGTGAGGAGCACGGACCATGGGGGTGAGAAGGGATGTGGTACCTGAGGAGTGCCCTCTGTTGGCCCATTCAGTCACATTATGTGTCAGCTGGAGCTGGAAGCCTGTCTCGCTGGGTGTGCAGTGGGGACATGCTGTCACTGCTCAATAGGTCAATGACCTTCCTTTTCCTAGGGCAGGGCTGTGCTTGGTGTGGCCCCAAGTAGCCAGCTTCAGCCTGCAGCGTGGGGACCCCTTTGGAGAAGATTAAATCTCCTCCAAGAAAACCCCATGGCCAGTTCCTGCGTCAGAAAGGGGCCTGTTAAGAGCAGCTTCCACAGCAGCCAAAGATCAGAGGCTCTCAGAGATGGAGGGTGGGATAGAACCCAAACTGTGTGTGCAGAGGTGCAGGGTGAGGTACATGCCGCCGCACAGCAAGCTGAGACCATCAAGCTTCTCCGTGCACCCACAGATGCCACAGAAAAGGGCAAAGTAAAGCAAACAAGCCCCATGTTTGAGCTCCGGTTGCAGTACAGGCTGCTGAGCCCACTTCCCTCCACCCCCCCGGGAACAGGGCCCAACTGTGCCTGGCCCCACATCTTGCAAGGTCTTGCTGTCAGCCCATCCCCATCCCCAGGAAACACCCGTCTGCCTCGGCAATGGCCTCTGCCCCCATCCCCAGTACCCTTTAGACTGAGTAGCTGCTGGCTGATTTTGAATGTGCAAAGGATCTGGCTCGGGGGGCAGGGGGAGAGGTGAGGAAATGACCTGTCACTTAATGCTGGAGCCAACACAGCCTAGGCACAGCCCTGAGCTCAGAGGGAAGCTCACTCAGACCCACTGGGCTACACGTCAGCAAACTCCCTCTGAAAGGAGCAGGTGCCATGACAAATCTAGAATGAAGACCAGAGACGGCAGGAATAAAGCACAGCCACAGCCCAGTGCCTTGCCGGTGTATAATGATCCCACAGGTACAATACAGCAGCTAACGTCCTTCCTCGCCCCACCCAGCAGCACGCTCCACTGCCCTGCACGCATGGGCCTGACAGCACCTTTACAATGGCGCCCGAGGGGCAAGAACTGAGAAGTCAGGTGATAAAAACAAGATGAACTTTGTGAAGGCCTCCAGGAAAGATTTCTACCTGAGCTAGAAGCAGAAGGCTCCCCAAGCCTGATGGTGATGGGCACCACGTGGTGAGAGGCCAGGAGGAGGGAGAGGGAGCTGCTGTTTGGGATGCTGGGAGGGCAGGTCTCCACCCAGACAGGTTGTAAGGACCTGACATAAAACAAGGGGATTGCTCCAGGGCTTTGCTTTCATTTGGCTTCTCTTGCCCATTGGCACTTTGTGATGCCACTCATCCCTGAGCTGCTGCCCCTTGTGAATACACAGCTCATGGGTGTTTTTAGTAAAAGTCGCAGACAGGTCACTGGGGAGAGAAGGGGAACAGCTGTCTCTCTGCCCCAGAGCATTGGGATGGGCTGTAGGAGGCAGATAGGAAGCGGTCATTGCTCTCAAGGGGAGAACTTCCCTTTTGGTGCTGGGGCTGAATTCTAGGATGGGAGGGTAATTAGAGAGTTTATATTTGGCTGCTGCCCCAGTCAAGGGCCGTTCCTTTTGCACTGACTGAGCCAGGGAAGTGGGCCAGGTCCCTCGGGGATGGGCCCAAGGGACAGCCCTGGAAGCAGGAAGCTCTAACAGGAAGGATTTAACCCCACTTGGGGAGAGCTCTTCTGGGAATTCCACAGCACCGTGTTTCTCAACCGCTGGGCCGAGGACCGGCGCCATGCCTTGAGATCTCCCTGATGCAGATTAGGAAAGCAGCAAGCTGGTCCCTGGTTGAACAACACTCCCCTAGAGGATATGGGGCGGTGCTGCCTGGCTGTAGGTCTGCCCGAGAGGGGCTGCACACTCCAGGCTGTTCTCTGAGCCAGCTGAAGAATCTCGGGATGAGCGGCCCTGGAGGAAGCGGATAATCTTCTCAATTGTGGCCTCCTGGTACTCATGGGACCATCTGCATCCAGGGGAGAAAATGGACAATCACACCCTGCTCGATGGACTCGAAAGTCTGCAGGTGAGCTCGATGTGCCGGGCCACGGGCACTGTGAGACCGACTTTCCCCTCCCTCCCCCCAGATGCTGTTCAGTGTGCCTGGGCCATTGGCACCGTCAGACACCCCCACCCTCTCCGGATGCTGTTCAGTGTGACCAGGCCACGGGCACTGTCAGACCCCATCCTCCGGTCCACTGGGATGCTGTTCAGTGTGCCTGGGCCACGGGCACTGTCGGACCCCCCCGGATGCCACTGTGACTGAAGGGCCTCAATGCCAACTGGCAGAGGGCATGCAGGTTACAGGAAACCCTGGATCTGGTGTTTACATTCTAGCTCACTAGTGCGTCACGTGCAGGTTCTGCTGGAACCCGGTGTCACATCATCACCTTGCTAATGGTATGTGCGGGTGCTGTGAAAGGAGGCATGTGTCTGTCTACACTGGAAAGAGTGTTCCTCAGGCATTGTAGCTAAAGGCAGGTCAGCCACAGGCAGCGTCCCTAAGTCAGGTTCCCATCACTTATCTCCCTCATTGGCCATTGTGTGTTGTGTGGCTCACAATGGGGGTCTGTGACGAAGCGGAACTGTTCTTAATGTTTCCTCTGAATATTGTGGGGGTACCTCAGTTTCCCCTATGCAGTTCTTAAGTCTCTAGGTGGTGGGATAAGGGTGTATGATCATTGCAGAGCCCTAGAGGGCAGGTGTGTGCAGGGGTCTAGACACAGAGAATGGCCAACACCCTGTTTCCTTGCCACTGATGGCCTGGCCCTTCTCCCCTGCCAGGTGAGAGCTAAAGGGTTGGAGAACAAAGGAATCCGGTGACCTCCTGGCCCCGGAAAGGGACAAAGCCCAGAGGAGGAGGGGCTGGAGGGAGTTTCAGTTTGGGACTGACTGGGGACATGGAGTGAAGTGCAGATGGGGTTGTCTGGCTCACTGCCCCCCAAAATGGACCCTGCTGAGGGGTCCTGTTCTCTGCACCTACAAGCTGGTTTAGACCATGTTCCTGTCGTCTAATAAACCTTCTGTTTTACTGGCTGGCTGAGAGTCACGTCTGACTGCGGAGTTGGGGGGCAGGACCCCGCCTGGGTGGAGTTGCTGTGGGAAGCGCAGGGAGGGGCAGAGGATGCTGAATGTTCTGAGGTCAGACCCAGGAAGGTGGAAGCTGGGTGAGCTGTGTGTCCTGCAGACAGGCTGCTCACAGAAAGGCGACTTCCCCAGAGTCCCGACTAGCTTCGTGGGGAGCAGGTCCAGAGCATCGCCCGGGGACTCCGTGACAGGGTCTGGCAGCGTAAGGGGGAGCTTGTGGGACTTCAGGAGGAGGTAACCAGTGGTCTGTTTTCAGGCGAAGAGCAAAGGGGAGAGATGATATATCTGGGGGTGCAGACAGACATCCTGGGGGAGGGGAGCAGCCAGCAGGCGCAGGGTCTTGGCCATCCCAGGGAGAAAGCGCGGGGGGTGAGCAGCAGCTCATCAGACCAGGGCGACTTGTTTGTTTCCAGTATTTCTCTTGGCTGTCCTATGGATCTCTGCTCTCTGCTACATACACTTGTCTGCCCTATGAGTCTCTGCTCTCTGCTACATACACTTGGCTGCCCTATGAGTCTCTGCTCTCTGCTACATACACTTGGCTGCCCTATGAGTCTCTGTTCTCTGCTACATACACTTGCTTTCTCAGGAAGCACCTGAGTGCTGTGTGTGACGCAGAGCTGGGTCTCAGGTCACTAGGAAGCTGGGGGTACTGGTCCTTTGGGGACATCCCGAGTGGCCAGTGCATGGGGGCTGGACACTGCAGGGGGTTGGAGTGTCCTATCGCTCACCTGCATGAGGGCCAGTAGAGCCCACGTGGGCTGAGAGGCAGGGCTTGGGTTGCCTGTGGCTAGCAGAGGCAGGGAGCTGAACCCCAGCGGCACAGAAAAGGCTCCCTCATGCTATGGCCCCGTGGTAGCGAGGTGCCTCTCAACCCTGGCAAGCCTGGGCCACGGGCACGGTAGGGACCACCGCCCCTCCTGGGATGCCATTCAAAGGGCCGCGGGGCCATGGGTGTTGGGGACCGCGTCTGAGATCCTGCACTAGTGGCTAGCAGAGCTCAGAGAAGAACTGCAGAAGCAATGAAGGAGCTGGAGTGATTGGGTCAGGAGGAGGGGTGGAAGGAGCTCAGTCTGCCCTGCTTTCCTGAAGGACAACAGGAGACACGAGATCTGCCTGCAGGTAGCTGAAGAGCCAAAATGCCAAGGAGGGAGGAGAATTATTTCAAGGGAGATCGGGAGAAGAAAATTCCACCTCCCAGATGAGATGAGTCCCAGCTGCAGAGAGGACAGAACCCCCTGCCCTGAACTTGTGACGTTCAGCAGCCTGCGTCTGTTCTCTCACCCGCCCTCCGCCTCGAGATTGCATCGTGCTGTCCGCACTCCACACAAGTCAGCAGCCACCGCAAGAGCATGGCTGGGACAGGGCCCCGCCCTACTTACTTGATGCCGTTAAATTTCAGGACAGCCCTCATGTCCTCAGGAAGATCCTGTGGATCAGGCCACTCAAAATGGTCAGCCACTGGGATGATGTTCTTCCCGCAGCTCAGGGCCGTCACGATCTCCTGCGGGGAAAGCCCAGAGCTTAGCCCATGGCTACTGCATGGCAGCCAGAGCCATTTCTAGCCCCTCCCGCTCCTGC